GTGGTGGGGGTAAAAGAGGTGGTATTATTGGTGGATCAATATTCATGTTGGGATTGTTTTGATTGCCAGAGAATATTCCAGTTGAAGCTGGGTTGGTTGTCGGTAGAGTCGGTCCGTCTTGAGCCTGGGAAAATGCCATGACTGAGAATAACTGATTCCGGTTGCTTTTGTCTTGAATTGAGTTGTTGATAATTTCTAGTAGTAGTCCTAAATTCTTCTAACTAATGTCGCTGGCGTTCTTATCCAGGGCAAGGTTGGGGGGTTTTGGTTACTAACTAATAATAATACTAATAAAACTAAATAATATGATACTACTATTCAATTATATAGATTTGTGGAGGTTGTCATAGACTAGTATTCTACTTTGCACTGAGTTTTAATCGGCTACCACCTGGTAGTTAAACTTTTTTATCCTAACTACTCTAGTATGTCGGCTAATTGGTCCCCTCGTCTTCTACTTTATAATTGATTCTTGAGTATTTAACTACTTAATCCGGAGTTCTACTAGGTATATCTAAGAACTAAGTCGTATAAAGCTAAACAGAATGTGATTATTCAAAGATATGGTTTGTCACGTGGTCAAAACAGGAATTTTCCTGCCTAAAACTAACTAAAATTCTACTAAAATAAACTATAAAAATCACTACAATGGTTTAGATATATCTAATCCACTTGCCAAACTACAGGATCCTCTATCACGTTGGGGACTCCCTTGTAAAGCTCAAAAGTGTTTGTGAAAACCTTTTGCTGAGTGTGGAAAGGGATGAATGAGGATACCTCTGCCTTTCCTGGATCACTAGACACTAGACAAGCCCACCAATCTCAGATTGGAAGGTTTAATAAAGTGATAGTGGAGTGTATCAAAAGATAACTGTGGCTTAACAGGTGGACAAAGGGTTTAACCCAGTTTTATAAGGGTCTAAAAGGTTGATTTGAGAGTGAGAGAGTGAGTCTAGCTGATATTTCAATGGTAAGGGGATGGTATGTAATGGTATGTAAGGGTTTGTAAGGGTAGGGGGTATGAAATAGGTGGATACTAAACTGAGGGGAAAACAACTGAGAGGAGAGCCTCTTAAATACACAAAGGTGAGGGATTTTAGCTTCAGGGGAACAAGAGAATGAGAGATTTTAGCTGGCCAGAGCTTTACAATGAGGGGATTTAGCTAGTCAGAACATGTACATGAGGTATTTTGGCTGGTTGAGCCACCTACATGATGTCATAAGAGTTATTCTAGCTTGAACTAGAAGTCTACATGAGGGTTTGATGCTGGTGAAGCATTTTACATGAGGTGATGTACTAGTCTGCAAGCTAAGTTGAGGTGATGAATATTACATGAGTGATGTGAGATAGTCTGACAGTGTGAGCCTGGGTCTCAACAGTGACTGCAGGACACAAAGTTTTGGGGGGAACTTTTGTATGTATTTCTTAAAGAGGAATACAAATAAAAGTAAGAGGAAAGGGAGAAGGAGAGTGAAATAGAAAGTAATATTTTTGTTCTTTATTTATTTTAAGAAGATGATATAATTCTGGCAGTCTTACTGTCCTCTTTGGGATAGCTGCTGACAGTCTTATTTTCCTTAGTAGGATAGCTGTTATAAGCGGAGCTAACTCTGACGCCTCCAAATCAACAGAAACTGAAATGGGTTATTGATTCTGATAAATCAGATCAACCACAATTTTTTAAATCAGGGATGATCAAGGTTCTTTAAAGGGAAACCTATGTAGTTTTCAGTTTTACTACCAAACAATAAAAGAGAAGAATCTTTGAAGCTAGTGGAGCTTTGGTTGATCAGGGCTTTTGGTTTAGAGAAGGAAGAGAAAGAGGTGAGAGTGACTGAGAAAGAAAACAAGCAGAAAGATGCTAGCTGGACTTAAAGAAGTAACTTACTGATGACACCAATGACACTGGATAGTGGGAAAGGCAGGAAAAGTAAGGTTCTTCTGGTTGATAAGTGTAAGCTGGATCTGGTACTGGTTGTTGTGGTTTCTGGGTGGTCTGGAGTCTGAAAATCCTCTGGAAGCGGAATCAACAAGCTCAGAGAGGATTTTCAAAGTTGGATTATGTAATCTGGTATGTACATGTGGTAGAGGGAGCTGAAACCTAAGGTTAGAATAATTCTTTGGAGAACTGTGAATTATTACAAAGTCAATGAAGGAATGTAGTTGGGTAAAAGTGGTCAGTGGTGACTAGGGTTAATTTTACACCAGGAATCCATTTCTGAAGTCAGAAAGGTTAAAAGTCTTAAGATAAAAAAGATATGATAATATTTTGAATAGAAATGGGCAGTTTTGGCAGTCTTTTGGTCAACTTGGTTGGCTCTAAGGCTGACAGACAGCTGCAAGGAAGATCAACAAGTGACATAGCAACAGGACCAGCCTAGAAGCTACATATTTCAAGTGTCAGAAGATAGTGTAGTTGTGTATACCTGTACTATAATGATGTTAGTATGTAGTTGTCCTGCAACGTGCATGTGTGTAGTGTGAATTATGTAATTTGTTGAGGTTGTTGAGTGTTGAAGTGTTGACATAGTGTTGACATAGTGTTGAGTTGTGTAATTGAGTGTAGTGATGGTCCAGAGGGTGTAGCTTCCAATCCAGTTGAGTTCCAGTGACGCCCCCAGTGGTGACCAAGGGTGAAATTGACTGTAGAATCCAGTTCTTGAACCATATTGGGTGATTTGTGAGTGTATATATGAGAAAAAAAGTGTAATTGCGTAATAGAAGAAAGAACTGTAAAAATTTTTAAATGGGCCAGATGGCTACCCTCAAGGTATACCACATCGCCCGTGACGAGTTCGTCTGGCGAGTACACTCATATCTGTATTCTCAGGGCTTGTGCCACTGTTGCAAAAAACATTGCGGCAGCGCGGCTGGCGCCTGTCCTGGGCCAATCGATTGATCTTGCATCGACATTCCATCAAAATTTGCAACCCCAATTAAACCGGCCGACTATGTTGCCCCGCGCGCCTGGGATAAGCCGGGAAAGCCCACACAAGCTCCGGCGGGACGCCCTGCAACTTGCGCTGCGAGCGTTGCGGGTATTACAGACACAACACCCCTTGAGGCCCAAGTCTCTGCGCTAACACTCGACGCAGCTATGTGAGAGGATGGGCGCTGGGACACTTACTTCGACGATGAAGGATGCTTCCCTAGTTTGGAACCGGCTGCGGTAGCGGCACTCAAGGATCTTGACAGTCAACTCCTTGCAAATGAGATTGAGAAGGCCGAACAGGCCGACCGAGCGGACGCTATCGCTGGCCGCCCGGGACGTGCCTGACTCAACTTCTGCCTCTTTACTCTTTTTTCCCTTTTTGTTCCTTTCTCCTTTTCCTTTTTTTTCTCTCTTCTTCCCACTTCCTCTATGATTTTGTTTTGTTTTCTTTTCTCTCTCTTCAATTTTTTTTATAGGAGGGGAGACTGTAACCCCCCCCCCCCTTGATTTGGGGTTCACAAACCTCTCACTCACATGTCACGCCCTCCTTTTAGTCTTCATCTTTCAGTTCCCCTTCCTGGCTCTGCAGAGATCTGTTCCCTCCCATCTCTCTGAGCCAGGTAAGTCCTATCTCTTTATTTCTTTTCTTATTGCTTCTCCTTTTCTAGATTGTACTGAGAGATCTGTTCCCTCCCATCTCTCTGAGCCAGCCAGTAATCAATTGCCCCGTGTTTGGTCTTAGAAACTGCTCAGGCTTCACCAGCCGTGTCCAAACAGCGCCTTTCTCAGCTCATTCAGTGAAGGACAAATCCAGTCCTTACACAGTCTTGTTTAATTTTTTTGGTCCTAATGCATCTTAGTATGTTGGTTTATTTCACTCTTGATTATTTTATTTTTTTTTGTTTTTTTTTGTTTTGTTTGTTTTTTTTTTTTGTTTTGTTTTGTTTTGTTTTGTTTTGTTTTGTTTTGTTTTGTTTTGTTTTGTTTTGTTTTGTTTTGTTTTGTTTTGTTTTGTTCTGTTCTGTTCTGTTCTGTTCTGGTTTGTGTTGTGGTGTTGTGTTGTGTTGTGTTGTGTTGTGTTGTGTTGTGTTGTGTTGTGTTGTGTTGTGTTGTGTTGTGTTGTGTTGTAGCTAGGGATGCTGTGACATGTCACCCCCCAGAGTCAAAGTTCAGTTTGAACTGAGATGATGGGGAAGCATGGTATTCTGATCTGATCCAAGATAGACCCATCAAATCTTATTGATCCTTTTATTATTGATTCATCTGATCCTCATATTCACCTTCAAAGATCCTCAACCTCAACAACCGCCACAGAACTCAATTTCTGTTGTCTCCTCCCAGAAAACCAACCAACCCCAACGTGTTTTGTTCAGATCACAGCTCAATTTATCCAGACCCCACTTGAAGGCAGCCCTCAAAGCTGTTGTCACATGTGTGGGACATATTGTAGTTAGTCCTCGACTGCGGCACAGTCAGTAGTATTATTGTTTGAGATGGGTCAAACCTAGTAATGAAAAATCATCGATTCTACCACATCTAACAGGTTATGAGCAATATCTTGCTTGTGGTACTCGTTTTGATAAATTTTTTTAGATAACAAATCCGACACCGGTAGCTGGAAGGACGAGCCAAGTAGTCACTGACGAGCAATATCAACAAACGGGTATTTGGTGACGAGCAAGTAGCCAAATCGTTGGCGAGTTTTCCCCATTGTAGTCCACCAGGGAGCGCTTTTTTTTTCTTTTTTTTCTACCTCTTCAACACTTCCCTTATCACCTTACGACCGAATTCGATCTTGTAAACGTTGCCTGTCCCCGACCTGATCCAATTATCAAGTTTAGGCTTTAGCTTTCAATTTTTTTTGGTTTTTTTCTTTCAAAAGTGTGGTGAACGTCTAGCTAGCGTTGAGATAGGATTGATCATCCTTAACCACTCTATAGTCAGACAACCGTTGAAACGCGATTGAGAACCCTAACAGATAAGACGAGAGGGAACAATCAACAACGCAAAGAGAATCGCCTGCGCCGACCGAATTCGATTTTTTTTTCTCTTTCTCCCACTCCAACCATGTCACATTCCGAACCTGAGGACTACAAGACTCCTTCCCGCTCCACGGACATTGCGGGTTTAATTGCCAAGCTCACACCGAATGCGCAAGCAGCACGAGCTTCTCTAGAACAGCAAGTACAAAATGCCTCGGCGGATGGACGACGTACCTTGAGAACTCTGATTGACCCCCAACTTCCAACCCGACCTTTTACGTCCAAAACATCGAAAGGAAAGAACCGGATGACTTCTATCGATGACATCCAAGAGACCGTTTTTCAACCAAGGATCACTGGACCTGAAGCAACAAAGAGAGACGCTAGGCCGACGTCAAGACAAGAGGCCCATCGACACATGGACAACCCGCCCCACTTGCAGGAGAAGTCCGATATAGCGGCGCTCATTACAGAACTTCGAGAGCAGCGTATATCGGACCGCCATTGCTTGGTTAAAGAAGAAGAACGCTCGAGAAAGCGCGCTGTGTTGGATGAACAACTGAAGATCTTGAATGTTGTCACGTCGGTTGCGAAACGTTTTGCGGATGATCAGAGGCTACAACCAGACGGATCGAACCTTTGATCGTGGGAACGCCTGTTACAGCTCCATGCGAAAGAAAAACTTGGCGATGCAGACTACTTCATCTCCAGTGGAGAACACCCCGGAGAGGAGGTTTCGGAACGCATGCATCGCGCTAGGAATCATCAATGTCTTGATCCACCCTGACCTCCTATGGGATGTAATCAGACTAGACGCAGCCAGCGACGTCTACGAAAAACTTGTCTACAAGTTCCGGTCTCTCAGCCAAGAAGCTCAACTCAATGCGTGGAACCAATTCATCAACATCAACCCTGAGAACACCACCAGTACTGCTGTGCTCTACTCCGAGTTCAACGACGCGATAAAATCATTTGTAGAAATGGAGATTTCGCTTACCGCTGACGAAATCATGGGATTGATCTTGCAATCCAACATCAAAAATCCTACCCTCAAGTCTATCGTCGATTGCAAGGTAGATGTTTTGATGAACGCCAGGGATGCAACCCCAAATCCTCATCAAAGTCACACGCCATCCTTTGCTGAACTCATGAAGATCCTCGACACCGCTAGAGTAGAGATGAACTTGGAAAACCGGCTCAAGACAAGCGAAACAACCACGTTCAGGACTCTTGTCGACACAGACGGTGGTCACGATGAACACAATACCACTTTGTCAAAGGAAGTTGACATGTTAGCAATTTCGAAGAAGAGCCACTGCTACATCTGCAAGAAGGAAGGACACATCGCGCCCAACTGCCCCGTCAAGAGACGAGGACAATCCTTTGGTCAAACACCTCAAGCCCGGGCGACAAATACTCCCTACCCCCCGTCAACGGGCCACTACGCTACACTACGCTATTTGACCACTAACTGTTAGTGTAGTGGCCTTTTTATTTCCTGGAAATTCTGTAGTGTTAGCTGACGCTAAACCCCACTACGCTAACTGTTAGTGTAGTGTAAATTTTTCTCTCAAATTTTTTGATAGTGTTAGCTTCAAATAATCTCAGCTAAACTAACTGTTAGTGTAACTTTTTTTGCGCTAACAGAATTTTGACTGTCAGATAGTGTAACTAATTTGAAGCTAACATTTAGTGTAACTTATACCAAATTAAGCTACGCTACACTACGACTACGCTACACTACGCTATTTGACCACTAACTGTTAGTGTAGTGGCCTTTTTATTTCCTGGAAATTCTGTAGTGTTAGCTGACGCTAAACCCCACTACGCTAACTGTTAGTGTAGTGTAAATTTTTCTCTCAAATTTTTTGATAGTGTTAGCTTCAAATAATCTCAGCTAAACTAACTGTTAGTGTAACTTTTTTTGCGCTAACAGAATTTTGACTGTCAGATAGTGTAACTAATTTGAAGCTAACATTTAGTGTAACTTATACCAAATTAAGCTACGCTACACTACGCTACATGCCTAGTTACGCTACGCTACAGTAGAAGTTACACTACACATGTAGTGTAGTGTAAATCATCAATTAGAGAAATCGACATGTCAAGTGAGAATTTATGCTCTTGAACCCTCTTCCTCTGCTTTCTGTTTTCAATGGACAAGTCGCGTGAACTATCCATATAACTGATACAGCCGAGGTCCATAGTGACAATTTTCAATTTCCTATGATCACACACAATCCCGCAGAAAATGAACAGCACAAGATGCAGAGACAAACAAACAGAGGATTTGCCTGGTGAGATTTGAACTCACAACCTCAGCAATGCTGATTCACATACCAGAGTGCTTCCTTTACAAACTAGCACAGCCCGCAAGCAGGTGACTTAATTCAAATTTTGTCACTTTGCTTTGCGGGTGCGCAGTCACTGCGGAAGTGACAAAATCCAAATTTCGTCACCTGCTTGCGGGCCGTGTAGGCTACAGACCCTTGTGGCAACGCTGCCACAGATACGATACGCTGTGTGTATCATGGAGAATTCTGCAAAGCTGCATGGCCAAAAACCAAATTTGTTGAATCTCCTTGCAAATAAAAGCAGATTGGTCAGATAGTTTTTTTTTATTGGGGCTCAGATACATAGTGATACATGGCAGATACAGGCAGATACCGTATCTGTGGCAGTGTTGCTTGTGGTTGTAATGTTATTTGGATGGTAGTTGCCATGGTTCATGCCAACAGCTCCACCAGACTCTGGTGATACATCATGGTTACACCTCAACCCCCCCCCCCCTTGCTACATGATGTGAAAGTGGAAATTGAACAAGCGTGGGAATGGAACCCAGTAAAGTATGATCTGAGGGGGAATTGAACCCATAATCTCCAGGTAGTCTGACAGGGGAATGTGGTCTTACAAGTAAGTGTTAAAAATTGGCAGGGGGCTAAAATTGAGTGGCCCCCATTACCAACTGAAAAAAAATGATGATCAATTGAGGGGATCTGGATGTAGGCCCCCCAATCAGGCACTGTCTTCAGGGTATACTAATGCTAGTCATGTGGTCATGTAAATTTTAATCAGTTACGCTAACAGTTAGTGTAACTTTTTCACCAGTTACGCTAACAGTTAGTGTAACTTTTTCACCAGTTACGCTAACAGTTAGTGTAACTGAGGCAACGGTCAAACAGATATTAGCTGAGTATTGATATTGGGTGGTATTGCCTATGAATACCACCCAATATTTTGGCTAAGTATAGTATTGGGCCCTTGGCCCAATAATTTTTATTCGTGGGCACATGTATTGGGCAGCCAATAAAATAAACTTTATTCATCATTAATCTATTGGCTTGGCCAATAAAATAAAATAATATACTTCAAAATTATCAGTGTGGATTTCAAAAACCTGTTTTTATTCTTTTTTATTCTTTTTTCTTCTTTTTTTTCTTCTTTTTTTTCATTTTTTCATTTTTTTCATTTTTTTTTTCATTTTTTTTTTCATTTTTTTTTCATTTTTTTTTTCATTTTTTTCATTTTTTTTCTGTTTTTTTCTGTTTTTTTTTTTTTTTTCCTTTTTTTCCTTTTTTTTTTCCTTTTTTTCCTTTTTTTTTTCTTTTTTTTCTTTTTTTTCTTTTCTTTTTCTTTTCTTTTTCTTGTTTTTTCTTCTTTTTTTTTTCTTTTTTTCTCTTTTTGTCTGTTTATTTCATATCATTTTCTTACTTTTTTCTTTGAGATTTCCCGTCTATCCAATCCACCATCCATGGTATTCTTCACATGATACTAATAGACTATGATGATTGGCTTTCATGGCTCGTATGCTTCTAATTGCACCAACATGCCCCTCCCCTTCTAACATTCATCATTGCAATCCACTTTGATGTCACAAAAAAACAATCATTATTGCCCTTTGCTGGCTTGCTAGGGTCAATTCAAGCCTCAGATTGCCACTAGTCTCCCATTTGCACCTTGATATCCTCTATTCTGAGCACACATCATAGTTGAATCATAACAATCATCAAAGGCTGACCTGATGTTTGCCCTTTTATTTTTTTTTGGGTGGATTGGTGGAACAGCTAGTCCAATGGGCTCCACTCTCATTAGTGATGGAATATATCTGATTGATCAAAGAGACAATGATGGTCAGACTAGAGATAGATGAAGCAAGTCCATCTAATTTGCCAGTACCATTCAGCCCACAACTGCGGATGCCGAAGGCCAAGCACAAGCCCTGATTATTTGAACAGTCTCCCCTGCTCTCCTCTGCCCTGGACCCAACTTCCTCTAGAGATGGCCGCTTTGCATCCGGATATCCGGCTGCTTTTTCTAGGGAAACCGGCATCCGCAACCGCATCCGCATCTGCCAGCGGGTATCCCCCGCCTTAGCGGGTATCCCCGGATACCCGCCCTTTAAAGGGCCGGCAAGGGACCAGCTGAAAGGGTTCCTTCCAGACGGCGAGCCACATGCTCAACGGCTGGAAGGATTTCCTTCCAGCCATCAAGGCACATGTACCTTGTCAACTGAGGAAACCCTCCAGTCCGGTCGACAAGGTACATGTATCTTGCTGGCTGGGAGGGTTTCCTTCCGGTTGATGAGGTACATGTACCTTGTCAACTGGAAGTATTTCCTTCTGGCCTCGGGTATCCTTTGGGATACCCGGATACCCGCCAGTGTTTTGCGGAAAAGGGGCCATCTGCACCCGAATCTGCACCCGCTGGCGGGTATCCGCCAGGGGATAGCGGGTATCCGCGACGGATACCCTTTGGCCATCTCTAACTTCCTCCACTTACAAAAAAAAAAGAACGAAAGAAAAAGAATAAAAAGTAAAAAGTAAAAAAATGAAAAAAATGAAAAAATAAAAGAAAACAAAAATGAAAAAAAAAATGAAAAAAAAATGAAAAAAAATGAAAGGAAAAATGAAAGAAAGAAAAAAAGTGAAATTATTGAATACCTGCGATACTGTGCCAATATTTTATTTTATTGGCCAATACAATATATTCAAAACAGATAAAATTTATCTGTTTCCAATAAAATACAAATTTATTTTATTGGCAAACAGATATAATATATTTATTAAAGATACTTTTTATCTGGACACCAATAAAATATAAAATATTGGGCAATAATTTATTTTATAGTATATGTTTGACCGTTGACTGAGGGTACCACTGTTGAAATTCTGTAATCCACAGTGTTCTAAATATCAGCACATCAGGCAAGGACTTGGTAGCCTAGTTGGTAAAGGCAGCACTTCTAGTATAGTGTCTTAGCTTCAAGCTAAGGTTGCTGGTTCAAATCCTGCCCAAGTCAATCATTTTATGCTAACTGTCTGCAAAATGCATTGTTAATTTTAACAACCACTACACTAACTGTTAGTGTAACTTTGCAAAAAGCTACACTAACATGTAGTGTAGCTAACTTAACGCAAGCCCCTCGATCGGATGGGCCTGTGCCAGGCTGGCGCGAAGCGCCCCTCCGAAGGAGGGACTTGTGAACAAAGTCGGCTTTCTTGTGTGGAAGCTGGCATCAGTTAGGTGGGGAAATTCTTGCTCGCAGACTTGTGTCATCTTCCAAGTGGAAATTTGACCCGCCTGTTTGACCATTTGAGAGGCCGGCTTCTTCTGATCATTTCCGTATAACTCTTGGGGCCATGGGCCCTCACCTGCCCCCATCAACAGCATTCCACAAAGGCCGTTTGGCCAGAAGTTTCATGATGGGCCCCAACTATGGTCATAGAGATTCCCGTTTCTTCCCAGAGATTACCACTGTATTTGGACCAAGTCCCCCGATTGGCATCTCAGGGACGGATGACTTATACTCACTACAATTATGAAAAATTATATGGGCAGAATGGGAAGAAGCTCAGGTATCCGAAGAAGTTGACGGCATCAAAATCATCCAGATTTCTCCTGAGTTATAGGGGATTTTGTGTGCAAAGGCCAAAAAAAGCCACAAAAAGCCTGAGCTTCCAGGCCGATGTTTCAACTTCACTCCCAAGCCCCTCTTTCAGAGGCTCGCTTCGCGAGGTGCCCCCGGCCCTCTGGAACGAGGGGATTGTGTTAAGCTAGGTAGTGTAGTGGGTTCACCCACTAACACCACTAAAACTTCACTAACAGGATTTTGGGTAGTGTTAGTTGTGCCTTTTTAAAGATAGCTAACACTACGCTAAAGTTTTTTTTGTTTTTTCAAAAATCCTGTAGTGTTAGTGGGCCAAAAATTCCCACTAACGGTAAATTTTGTGTAGTGTAGCTTAAAAAGCTAACACTACGCTGCACTAACACTGCGGTTAGTGTAACTGGCCCACTGTTGCCCCCGTGCTCTATAACATACAACTTCAACAAACTCCCTTTTGTTAGACCACAACAACCCGATGCACCAGCAGACAGCCAGCCAGCACCCAACAATCGGAGAATATATGATCCAATGAACAATCCGAAACCCAAGACGGTGGAAGCCAAGATCCTCAAAACCAACCTGTTCTCTGAGGATCAAGATGAGAACTACATTTTCGAAAATGAGAACTTATCAGCTGAACCAACAGTCGATCGGCTGGACCTCCGTGAATTCTCTGTCGAAAATCAAGAACAAGAAGTCATTTGGGACTCCGGGGCCTCAGACAACGTGACTGGAGACAGGTACGCCCTTTTCAACTTCAGGCATATCGAGAAGCCAATCCCAGTAAGAGTGGCGACTGACTCAGCTAGTGATTTCATCACAGGTTTGGGTACCTTGAAATTTGCCGGGCCGAGGAAAACAACTGTAAGGATCCGATTTGATCCTTCACCGTCGGACGAGTAAATTCTAGAAACAAAGCCAATGCTTTGTGGAGACCAATTCTAGAACCGCTGTGTGTTTTATTTCTAGCTCAGTAGTAAGAAGTCAGTGGGTCTCTACTGAATAATAATAAACAACAAGAGTAATAATAAGAAAGAATTATGAAATGAAATCACTCACCTAGCTCAGTAGTAAGAAGTCAGTGGGTCTCTACTGAGCTAGGAGGGGAATGGGGAGAAAGGAACTAAGTACCGTAGAATTTATGATTATGTAATAATGTGTGAACCTCTTGTGAAACCTGTACTGGGTGTAGGTTTCACAGTCTCCCCCCCTATATAAAGATTAAGCCCTCCCCCTTACTAAGATCCTAGGAGAAATGGAGAGATAAAATAGAAGACAGAAAAAAGAAATGTGAAAAAAAAAAATTACGAAAATAACACTGATGTAGGGAATTTGAAAATTTTGAGAGGGGAGATTCAGAAGGGAAATGAGACAAGGAATCAAGAAAGGACAATAAGACAGAGAAGGCTAGTAGAATTGAGAAATCAATGAGGGCATTGAAAGAAGGATGAATGGTGTTGAGCATGTTTGTTGGTGGGATTCAGAGAAGTGATGATCGGGGTTGTCCTCGGTGTGCCTTTGGGAAGACTGTAACAGACGGTTGTTATGTGCTCACGGTGTGGCCAGGGTAATGTTTTGACAGGTTTTTTTTGGATGGTAGTAACACTTGGAGGTGCATCTATTGGGAGGAACTTACTTCTGTGCTTTCCACATTTGCAACCTCTCCTCTCTCAATGTACGGCTTCACTTTTGAGATGTGCATTGTGGGATGTCGGCGGTCGCCCTCGGGGAGGTCCAGTTCAACGCTCTGTCCATGATTAAAAACTCGCAATACTTTATATGGTCCTTCAAACCGCTCCTTGAGTTTATCCACTCCGCCCTTGTTTTTGCCCCGCCAATCTGCCGAGTTGAGGAGAATCCAGGATCCAGCTGCAAGGGGAGGGCGGTCGTGGTTATGCTTGTTATGTTGTAATGCTTGTCTCACTCTGCTAGTCCATAAGGTGTCGCGTGCGCTAGTCCAGGAGCTTTCCCGAAGTTTCATCCACACTTCCAATGTTTTTGGTGAATCTTGAGGTCCTTCCTTTGATGGGAACAAGTTTGGTTTGTGTCCAAAGAGTAATTCAAATGGGCTAAACCCAGTGGCTACATTGATTGCAGAGTTGATAGCAAATTCAGCTGCCGGTATTGCCTCTAGCCATTTCCCCTGCCGTTTGGTTGTGAAGGTCCTCAGGATCTGTCCAACAGTTTTATTTGTGCGTTCGCTGCGACCATCTGCCTGTGGGTGGAATGCCGAAGACATGTGAAATTGAATGTTGAGGCGTTCCATCAAGGCTTTCCAGAACTTGGATGTCCAAAGTTTGTCACGGTCCCTGATAATTGATGCTGGGGCGCCAAACGTTGTCACCCAGTGGGAGAAGAATCGTGTTGCAATCTTTTCTGCCGTATCCGTCTGTAGAACTGGTATGATCTTAATAAACCCTGATAATCGGCAAGTGCAGGTCAAGATCATGTCGTAGTGTGTTGATTTGGGAAAGAGGTCCCACAAAGTCTATGGCTATGTCAGTAAGAGGTTTCCGGGGGAAGGATGGAGTCAACATCTTCCCAGTTGGGGATGATGTCGGGGCCTTTGTTCTCTGACACGTGGGGCAACTATTGACGAATTCTGCCACTTGTTTGGCCATTTGTGGCCAGAAAAAGTCCTGCCGGAGTTCTGTGATCGTCTTCAAATATCCTAAATGACCCAGTCGGTTATGAGCTTCATTCATCAAATTGTGGCGGAGCTCCCCCGTTGCTGGGATAACTAGTCTGCCTTCGATAAACAACAGTCCGTCGACATCTAGACAGTCCTTCCTCAAGGGCAGGGCTTCTCTAATGGCTAAGCAGAAAGGATCAGTCTTGTATCCTTCCCGTACTTTGAATTTGAGAGAGTCAGAAAGCCCTGTCCCCAGTTCCGTCAGAGCCGCCACGCTAGCAACGTCTGCTGCTTCAATCGGTGGATCCTCCTTGTCTATTTCCTTTTGCGAGAGGGCGTCCGCCACTGTATTGTCTTCACCCTTGATATATTCGAAATGGAGATCAAAATCCGCCAGAATTTCCGTCCATCTTGCTTGTCGTCGGCTAAGATTCCGCTGTTTGAGTAGATAAGTGAGTGAATGATGGTCTGACATCACATTAACTTTCATTCCCAGGAGTAACATCTTCCATTTCTGTAGCGCGTGGATGACCGCCAATAGCTCTTGCTCGTGAACCGGGTAATTCTTTTCTGCTGGCGTCATGAGGTGTGATTCGTACGCTATGGGTGAAGCCTTCTTCCAGTCTTGACCTTGGAACAATGCTGCTCCTAAGCCTGATCCACTGGCGTCTGTGAATAGCCACAGAGGGTCGTCTGAATCATAATCGATGTTCTTGAGGCATGGGAGTGACGTCATTATCTTCTTGATATTGTTGAAAGCTGTTTCCTCGGCGGCCCCCCATCGGAATTGTTTGGGATCTAGTTTGGTGCTAGTGAGTGGGGTCAGCGTATCCACATATTTCTGCAGTCCCCAGATGAACTTCTTCATCCATTGGACCGTACCGAGAAATCTCTTCACTCCTTTTGCTGACTTAGGCGTTGGCCAATCCAGTACGTGTGCTACCTTGTCGTCGTCCGCTCTGATTCCCTCCTCTGAGATCCAGTGACCCAGAAATTTGACTTGCCTGCGGAACAATTTGGTCTTCTTTGGGCTGCAGTACAAGTTGGCCGCCCGTAATCGGTGTAATACCTTGCGTACGTGCTCCTCGTGGCTTTGGAAGGAGTCTGAAAAAATCACAATATCATCAAGATAAACTACGCAGATGTCATTTATAAGTTCACCCAAGGCCTCCTCCAATCTTGCTTGATGTGTTGCTGGCGCGTTAGTCAATCCCATAGGCATGACACACCACTCCATTAATCCCCAGGGTGTTTTCACGGCCGTTAGAGGAATGTCAGCCTCTCGCATCCGTGTTTGGAAAAACACATTCGTTTGATCTAGAATGGAGAAGACCTTCCCAGTCGCAACTGTCCGGACCAACTCGTCAACGTTAGGCAATGGGGACCGATCGCGTACTGTTAAGCTATTCAGGGTCCGGTAGTCGCAAACCCAGCGTGGTAGTGCTGATGGATCCTTCTTTGGTATTATCATGCTGGGTGACGCATATTGGCTAGATGATCGTCTGATCCTTCCTGCCTCCAAGTGTTGATCCAGGAGCGTACGCCATGCAACAAGATGTTTGCGGGGGTAGGGGTAAGATTTCTCATTTACCACTGCATCCGGGTTAGTCAAAACAATTTTGTGTCGGACTTTAGAGCTTTCTAGTTGTAGTTTCTTTGGGAATGTGTTGTCTGTTGGATGGTTGTCTAGGGCGGTGGTATCAGATACAGCCGGAATGTCTGCAGGGAACAAGTCTTCAAACTCTTGGAGAATCTTCTTTTCAGAAGTCTCACAGGGATAAGTCAATGCATCCATGCTGGTGGTTGTGGGAGGAGGTGGTGAAGTCTGTTGATGTATTGCAGTAAGATGGCGGTAATCAACTATAGTACAACCAGAGCGTCCGCATTGCAGAGCATTATCGGAGATTGAGACGGATAAACAAAATTGAGAGAGAAACGGTATTCCTAAAATCATCTCGTAGTCCCCTTTGATCTGACCAACCTTGAGATTGACGTCCTTGAAGGTGAGCGCGGAATTGGGATCGGATAGAGATACTACCACAAAGTGCTTGAGTATGATGGGGACTGAGGTTGAGTCATCTAAGGCTAAACTGACCACCGTTGGTGTTGACATCTCTTGAATCCTTACGCCTGTCAATTTAGCTGCCTCGTCCGTGATTAGATTCAGTTCCGAGCCTGTGTCAATCAAACCTCGTAAGTTTACCCCGTCCATAGTAAAATTGACGATTAGTCGCCGTGGTCTTGTCTTGGATACGTACGTTTCCTCTCTAGCCAGACGGAGCTCTTCTTCCATGTCTGTTATTGCTGATATGGATGCTTGATCCAAGGGGGGGCAAATGCCTTCCTCTGAGATTGCGGCCACTGTGGCTGCTTGTCCTGCTGGTCTTCCTGCCGGGGTTTGTGTTGGTCTTCCTGCCGTATGGTTGGGAGCAAGCTTGGCTGTCGGAGGTGTGTAGTTGGCCGGTTTGGCAGGAGCTGTGAATGATGCGGGTATTGGGATGCGGCTGCGATCGATGGGACCTGGACAAGCTCCAGCCGCACTGCCGCAGTTCTTCTTACAGTAGTGACAGCGCCCTGTTGAATCAAGGAATGCATGAACTCGCCATAGGTTTTCCTCTCTCTACAACCGTTCTGAGGGTCGATCTTGATTTTGTGGAGCTTGTTGATGACTCGGTTTAGGTCTTGCCGTTGATCGTTTGGCAATCCAATCCCAGAATCCACTGGCTCGACTGTCGAAGATGCTGAAATCGAATGGAGAGGCTAAAAGAAGTTGGTGGGCATGTACCTCCGCTTGTAAGTCTTCCTTCATTCCTAGTGTCATCGACTCCGCTAGGTCAAAGTCGGAGATTGTTTCTTTATCAAAATTCAACATGCTCTGCAGAGTGCGAGAGCCAGTACTGTAGCCACGAAAGTCCTCGGCATTGGACATGCGGAGGCCCTTGAATTCTGCTCGGAGGTTGGTGCGCCACATCGGTGGGAGGGCAAAGGCAATCAGTTTCTCTTTGAAACCTGTCCAGCCTTGTCCAATGAACTTCTCAACACCGGCCGCATAGAACGCCTGGGTGTTTGTTTCGCGAATCAAAGTGCCGACGATGCGGATCTTGTCATTGTCGTGGGTGATCCCTTTTGTGGCGAAAAAGATCTGAACGCCTCGGAGCCACGAAAGGAAGGGTTCGACCTTCTGGAAAGGCCTGACGAAGCTGGGTCCATCGGACGATCTGAACCGCTGTAGATCGACTCTGGGGTTTGTTGGAGGCGGGGTCGCATGCTC